TAGTGCTTCTTTACCATTTACGCAGAGACTAAACCACATGGGGCCAGTATACTTGTCAGGGTTACAAACAGATGAATACATTGATGCTTAGAGAGGTTAAGTATGTTGCCTAAGTTCATACAGTTGGGAAATAATGAAGCTGTCATTCGGGCCATCTGATTCTAAAGTCCATGCTTTTCATGGACGGTACAAATTACATTTTACCACTGCGGGTTAGAAAACTGCCTTGCCTTTGCTCCCAAAAAAGAGAGCTAACTATTTATACTCTGAACTTAAATTTGACTAAGGCTGAGGAATTAGTTGGTAAAATTAAGAAGTGGGAGAAATATCAGGGAAAAGCAATCATATTATCCTGGAGTCTGGGTAATCAGATTTATAGTCTACACATTAACTCATGTCTTTTATGATTATATACATAAAATGAAATGAAATATGCTTTTCTCTAAAAAGAGATGGAGCACACAAAGGTCTAATTATAAATATAGGAATTCAGAAAGGCTTCCGTGCAGAAGGACCATTTGAGCTGAGTCTTTCAGATTGGGATAGGATGTGAACACATTGGAGACAGGAGAAGGGATAACATGAACCAAGGTTCCAAGATGGGGCAGTTTAAAGTCTGTTTATTAATTTGGTTGGTGTGTATGGTACATAAAGGAGAATAATGGGAGACAAGGCTGGAGTTTGAATACTTGGTTATATATAATGAACGCTAAGCCACAAAACATCTTGAAGCTGAAGAGGGAAGGATAAGTGCTGTGTTTCAAGATTAATCTGGTGGCTGTATGTAAAATGGGTTGGGAAGGGAAAACAGGAAAGGTATTTAGGCTAGCTAAATAGTATTGCAATATTAAAGGAAAAAGATAAAAAAGGCCTAAACTAGGATAGCGATGTATAGAATGGAGAGGTGAAGATGCGTGTAGTACTGGTAGATGCTATGAGGATAGAACAGACAAGGCTAAAGTCCTGCATACTGGCAACATGGAAAACACGGGACAGTCAGGGGAATGCTTTAAGAAGACTAATCTGGTTTAATGAGCAGGGAAAATTAGGAGAAAAAACTGGAGGTAGGGAAGCTAGTTAGGAGTTTACTGAAGAAGTCCTGGTGAGAACAAGCAGTGGGAATGGGAAGGAAAGGACAGTTACAATTCATGTTATGAGAAGAAAACTGATATGACTTAGTGATGAGGTGGGTGTAAAGGCTGAGAGGGCTGAAAGGGACTGAGGTTTCATGCCTGAGTGAGTAGACAATGGTGCAGCTGCTATTAACAGAAAGACAGAAGTTAGAATGAGAAGTTAGCTGGAGGGGAAACGTCACAATGAGAAACAGAGGCAAGAGAGTTACATCGGGGAGCTGACAGCATCAGATTTTAAAAGAACATATGGAAAAAGTTGTAAGAAAAAAAATACGAAACCAAGGATGAAATTAAAGAAGTGCTAAAAACGTGTACAAACAGGATCAAGAAGGTTAAAATTCTAAATAAGTCTTGTTACATAGTAGGCATTCAAAAATGTTGTTGAATGAATGAGCTGAGGCTTGTGGGAAATTCTTCTCTCTATAACACACTGCCTTTCAGGCTTTTTGTTGCTTGGAGAAGATGTCATGTAAAAGACAAGAAGGAAGAGCCATTCAAATACTATTTTCCTTTTCTCTTTTCCAGAAAAGGAGAGTGGTCTTGAATCTGGATTAGGTGGAACAAACATAGAGGGGAAAACAGTAGCATACGATGGAAGGGAAGCTGTGACAAGCACCCAGTCACTTTAATTCATGTCCAGTGGAGGACGGAAGCATGGGGTGTTCAGTAAAGGGAGAATTAGCCTCAGTGTTGTAGTCTATTCATCTGCCTACCTCTGGGGAAGGGAATTTAGCAAGAAGTTAAAAGCATTGGCTTTGTAATCCACAGAAGAAGATTCAAATTCTGACTTAGCCACTTCGGTAGCTGTGCGGTCTTTGGCAAGGTCACTTGATCTCTTCAGACGTCAGTCTTCCCAATTTGTAAAAACAGGATCAACAGTTCCTATTCTCATAGAGCTATTGTGAAGATTAAATGAGGTAAAGTGTGCAGAACACTCGGTTAAGTGACTAGCACTTAGAAAGATGAACATGCTGGTGCATATACTTTTGCTCCCTTTCTGATTGTTTTCTTGGGCTACATGCCTAGCAAAGTAATTAGTGTTGAAGGGGATCATTTTCCAGAACATGTACATTCCCTCCAGCAGTGTATTAAAATGACATTATATTTGGTTTTGAGCTTCTAGCAGCCAAACTAGAGCAGTTAGAAAATCAAAAGCCAAGCTGAAAGTTTAGTCACAGAGCTCCCCCCAAACAGGGCCCAGATGTTGTTTGGTGCAGTATCACATATTTGTTTGAGCTCTTCTAGGAATCTGTTACTAAGGACCAAGATGCAGAATTGTAGTAGGATGAAGACAAGACATACTGAAGAGAGAAGGAAGACATACTTACTCCTCACCAAATCTGGGGGCTAGAGGTACTCACAGACCAATGTCACCTGGCTCATCCCCGTCTAGCAGGGGAAACTGACTGTGTTAGAGTCACTACCAAGAACTCCATACAAAAAAGAGAAAAGCATTCATGATACCTAAATGAAGAAATAGCAGAAAATGAAAAGTGAACTCAAAGGATTCACAGCTAATTTGTGGTTGATCATTGGAGGGAATAAGACAGAGCTAGAGTGTGATGACATTGGGGATCAAAGGTACTTCAAAGGTATTGGGGAATATTTTATTACATACATAGAAATTCACATGCAGACTAAAAGCAAATATGTCAACATGTAACAACTCTCAATTCTGGAGGGTAAGAAAACTTTGTACTTCATGCTTATCTGTATTTTTAACTTATTTAAAATAAAAAAATGAAAAAGAAGATGTTGTAGGGGACAGTACATTGGTAAAGGATTCCTGGAGAAGATGAGGTTTGAGGCAAACTATAAAAAAATGGACTTTGGATGGCCTCAGGGGAGAGCTGCCAGGGACCAAGACTGAGGAGTTTCTATTTGGAAATATTCCCAGTTTTTCAGAAGTCAGTTAGTGATATAAAAATAACCTATGTGAAACACCCAGACTCCAATTCATGGCAACACAGAATTGAAAATTATATCACTTATTGCTAATAAAAGAGAAAGCAAAAGTAAATTATTTCAAAATAAATAATTCAGATTGTTCACGAGTTGTCTTAAAATAATTGCCAGTGTCTGTTTAAAATATCAAGTACTGTAAAAATGTATTGAAGTCACTTGAGAGAAATTCCTCTCGAGTGATGCAGCATCTCCAAAATCCTGAGGAACTGGGTGGAGTAAATAGTAAACTGAGCTGTTGGGCTCTAACAGTCAGAACATATCTGTTGTCTTTGCTCAGCAAAGACAGGAGACGGATGTTCTTCAGATAGGAAACAGGAACTCAGTGGGTGGACCCAAAAGGGAGTGTGGGCTTTGAAACAGGAAAAAAAGAAGTGTGCTTCTGATAGTGAAAGAAATGCATTGCTGTGCTGTTCTGATCATGCATATCCTGCTAGGTCAAACCTTTATTCTATATCCACTTAGCAGTTACGTAAGTTCTAGGATTATACGGGCGGCTGTTTTTATATATTTTGCTTTGTAAGTGTTGCATTACTGTTTCCTGTATGTGCTTTTTGGTTTTGTCATTTTAGGAAATGGCATACACTTACTTTTTCAAATCAGAAACCAAACAGTTACTTGATATTTTCTTCTTCCTTGCTCCCCACACCCAATCCTTTATCAAGTTATGACTCTTTCTTTAAAATATTTCTTTCATCCTTTTACCTTTCTCATCTTGACTTCCAGCATTGGGGTCAAAACCACCATCATCTCTTGCCTAGATGACTGAAATGCTCCTCTGCCTCATTTTCTTCTGTCTATTCTTGCCTCTGCTCATTCTTTTCCAAATTTTGGCCCAAGTAATTAAAAAAAAAACAAACCTAGATGATTCATTTATCATGACCTTTTTTTTTGGTACTTAAAGTCCAAAGTCTTTAATGTGGCCTACAAAACTTGGCATGATTTGACCCCCAATCAGTTGTCCTTTCTATCTTGTGATTGATTCTCTCACCTCACTCTCTTTGTTTCAGTCACAATCACCTTTTTATTTTTTCTTTTTAAAAACATTAAAAAAATTGATTTTAGAGAGAGAAGGAAGAAGTGGGAGGGGAGAAACATTGACTTGTTGTTCCACTTATTTATTCATTTATTCATTGGTTGCTTCCTGCTTGTGCTCTGACCAGGGACAGAACCAGCAACTTTGGTATATTGAGACAGTGTTCTAACCAATGGAGCTACCCAGCCAGGGCTGGCTTTTTTATTCTTGATTATTCTCTCAGCTCTTTCTAGCCTTGGGGTCTTTGCACATCCTTTTCACCGCACCTGGAGTGCTCTTCCTGACACCATTTACCTGGCTAATTCCACTTATCTGGCAGGTCTCAGTTTAAATGTCACTTGCACAGAGAGGCTCTCTAATAGCAGCTATTTCTTTTCCTTCATAAACTTCTCACAATTAGGAACATATATGCTTAATTCTGTGTCTTCTATTAGAGAGTAAGTTTCTTGAGGCCAAAGATAACATGTATTATGTTGACCGTTAAATATCTAGGGCTTAACATGATGTTTGGCACTGACTAGGTGTTCTTCATTGAAATGAACTGTAATGTCTAGCACAGTATTAGGAAGAAAATAAATTTTAAAATATAGTTATTTATGGAAAATTCTCTGCTGTAATTATTGAATAAATGTAAAAAATGGGGATTTTAAAGTTTAGTATCATATAATTGAATTCAATAATTATTCTCTATAACGTGAAACCAACAAAGGCAAGTCATAGTTAATCCACATTTCAGAGTATTTCTTGTTTTTTCCTGTCCTCTTGAGGATTGCGACAGGCTTGGAATCAGGGCAGGATTCAACTAACTACTTTTCTGTGGTTGGTACTTTAACATTCTTCCTCTTCCTCACCTGGGAACAGATACTCACCAGCAAGCTGTGACACAAAGCATGGAAATGCTGCTGATTTTTCTCCAGCTCATCCCAGTCCAGCTGCCAGCAGCTTGTAGGTCTGAGGATGAATGGAAGTCCATATGTAACTGATTCGCAGATCCCACTGGATTTCAGAGCCCTGGGAAGAGACAATGGCAGGGAAAGCTTCCTCAATGATATCTAGAACATCGACACAAATGCACTAAAATTCAGTTAAGTATAAGACCCCATTATGAAATCCTTTAGGTTAGGGACTGTGAATTATTCATCTTTGTATGGCCAGTACCTAGCAAGGTATTGGCCACATAGCACATTCTCAAAGCCTGTTAATCAATGAATGAAGCAGCCATCATGAAGGCTCAAGACTCTGATGAGTATTTCTTCTGAGCTCATTCCATGCCAAGCGATGTACTTGGGGACACTCCCATAATACCCCTGCTATAGTAACCATATAACATAATAGTATGCTAACCATCTGCATCCCATTCCTGGCCCTTTTGTGGTGATGTGTTGACAGAGGATGCATCTAAGAAGAGGACGTATTTAAGAAGGTTCCTAGCAGCATCCATGGTCACAAACCCTTGGACACGCTTGCTCAAATACCTGTGCAATGGGCATTGTGGTAGGAACTAGGAAGCAGTAAAAAAAATGGTCTTTGCCATAATTGCTAATTCTATCTTGGACTTGGTTCCCTTGGAAGCAGGAATCTAGTTCTCAGAGCAGTGATTTTCAACCAGTGTATTGCAAGAATTCTTAAAACATGCGATATCTGACTATTTAGTCAGAGGCACTGACATTTTTTTCCCTTAGGCTGTAAATAAAAAAATGACAACAACCAATACAAAATAGTTGTCCAATGTGAATGAATAATATCTATTTTTTAGTCAGATCAGCCAAAAATCTATTTTTGGTGTGCCACAGAATTTTAGTAATTAGTTTATTGTCCACTGAATGGGATAAAAAGGTTGAAAGTCACTGACTTGGAGAAATGGGAGGGCGGGGAAGATCCTATGTACCACTTGCTCCCTGAAGGCCAGAGATCTCTGTCCTGATGCCTAAACATAGTAGGTCTCTGCATTCGGAGACTTTGTAGATTTCCAATCCTCATTCAGCCCTCAATGTCCTACTGAGGCACGTCTTCACCCTCTGCTCATTTGTCTCCCTGTGCTGAGCCTGACTGTGCTCTTTCCTGCCCATATCTGTAGGTGCTGCTTTGGACCTGACTCCCGCCTGCCTGACACTTGGGGAGGTACTCTATCCCTAGACTTTCTAACCATAGACCTGTAAGAATCAGTGTTTGCATGGATTGGGGAGCTTCCCATGGGCCCTACTTGATCACCCGGAGCTTGTAATAAGAGGATGATGACTGGGAGGCCATCTGGTAGAGTGTGCTGAAGTCTCCTTTGGGGTCATCTATTTTCAAGGAACCATCAGCTGTGCCGGGGAGCAGGGATGGGCTGAGAAGTCTCTCTTGGAGATCACATTTCAGGCACACTACAATCAAAAACAGCGTTGAGGGAAGGATTTTCATCACAAGTTACCTCAGGCTATGCAATTCAGAGACAACATCTGCCACTCATTGCACCCTCACCAGGCAAGTAAGAGCTGGGAGCAGACAGGAGAGTGGAAAGAGGGAAATATGATTGGTTTAGGGAGGCTCTGAAACCTACAGTATTGCTCAGTATTGACAGGTAACATTTTCTGGGTCTGACGTGATTTTTACTTGTTTTACTGCTGGGCTCACTGAGCAGTTGCCCGATAGTGCAAGATCTGGCTTGTGATCCAGTCTGAGAGGAATATGTGTCCTCTGTGGAGGAGGCAGCTAACCCTACAATACGCAGAGGCCCTTTGGCAATCAGAGAAGGAAATCTTGCCTCTGCTGCTTCCCTGTGGCTAAGCTTTGCAAGGCTGCAGGTCTAATGAAAGAAGAGCAGGAAAGCAGAAGTCAGGCAGTCAGCTGACAACCACTGTTCCTCTGCGGGCTCTTCTAGGGACATTTGGAGGTGGGGGAGGAATAAGTTCCTGAAATAGTTTACTTTTAAATTCCCCAAAGAAACCAAAGTATAGAACCTTCTGACCCTTGGAACATCACTGTGATACCAGACCACATTTTTGAGAGGATTTCAACTAGGTATAAGTTACTCATCAAGGTATTACTCTCTCGTATGAAGCTTCTGCTCCAGCAGGTCTATTCACATGACACAAGGTATCATGCTCTTTTGCACTAAGCTTGAATCCTTGCTATTACAAAGTTTTTCAATAAAATTTATACCAGGTTCGACTACTGTTAACAAACCTGTGGATATACAAATGTTGAGTCCTTGTGAGAAGGTTAGTAGTTGGTGTTAGTGATTTATGAAATGACTATACTAACTGCAACATGAGGTAGAAACAAAAGTAAAAATAATGTAGAAAAAAAATAGGATGCTAGAGCAGATGCCAGGTCCAGCTGGCCCTCCTGGGCTCAGCCATCAGACATTAATGTTGGGTGAGGTGCCTCTGGTGTGTCCCAGAGCCCAGAAACTCAGTAGGAGGGACTTTGCCTAAGGCTTCAGCTTCTCCTTATTCCTGTGTGCTTGACTTCATTGTTGGGTCCCTGGGTTTTAGGACTGTACAGCTGTATTCATCTGGCTGAGGTTCCCAACTCTGATTGAATTAAAAATCACCTAGGAAACTTTTAAAAGATACCGATGTCTGGACCCTACCTCACACTGATCAAATTGGGATCTCTGGAAATGAAGCCATAGGATGCTGGTATTTAAAAAAAAGATCCTCATGTGATTTTATTGCAGCCAGGGCTGAGAACTATGGGAACAGTAATCTCAGCAGTTTTCCAAGGCTGGGAAAGCTGTTTTAGCAGGACCTGGGTCTAGGACAAGGTATGCTTCTTACCGTTCAGAACCTGCAGAGGTGGCAGACCCCGAACCCAAGAAATGAGAAAGGACACTCATCTGAAGCTGACTGTGCACTCTATCCATCACAAGGAGGCCTCTGAGGGAAGCATCTATAGATGAGGTGAAGGGCCCTAGGCAGCTACTGAAGCAGCTGGTGTAGGGTGGAGAACCTTACAAGGAGAAGTCACAGTGAATATCTGATGGGCAGTGCTCAAAAAATTCTAGAGTAAGAGAGCACAGGGGTTTTGTTTGGTTTCTTTCTTTTTTTTTGTAATGAGCCACATTTTTAGAAATCCATGTGTGTGGAAATATATCAGTTTTTTAAAACAAAGGATTACAACAGGAGGTCTACTTTCCCCAGACCTCATTCCAAGTATGTCTGAGCATCTGAATTCCAGTGAAGTCCTCCCCAGCAGAAGAGCTGATGAGTGTGGATTTAAGTTCTACCACGCACGATGAAGATCCATGAATTGCTGAAAAATGGTTGCAGATAAAGGTAAATGTTTAGGATCTAATCCTGGTGCTGAAAGCCACAGAAAGAGAGCGGGCAAAGCAGGGAAATTCTCAAGAGTACAATGGGCAAATGCTGTGCAACACTACCAAGGGCTGACTCTTGCAATCAGCCTTTCCTAATTTTTTGAGGCTCCCCGCTCTCCAAATGAGAAAAGCGAATCTCTAGTCTTCGTTTAGAATTATACACCATGAGGCGGGCTGCACAGTGGGTATGGGCCCCAGCTCTGGGGGCAGATAGACTTGGGTTTGATGAATGTCTTCTGGGCTAAGAGTGGTCAAATGTGAAAAATACAGACTTCTAATCCTAAGGGTAAGAGTGGGCTCTGGAATTGCCCAGTTTCAAATTCTGGCTCTGCTATTAGTTTTCTGTGCAGCCCTGGGGAAATGTTTAATTTCTGTAAGTCTCGGTTTTCTCATCTGTAAAACAGGGATGACATGGTATTTAATCGATGCTAAGATACATTTTTCCCCCCACATACTAGGATCTCTATATGTGTCTTACAACTGCCACCGGCCAGGCACACACTCTTAACCCTTACATACTACTCTAACCTAACAAACTCTTTAAGTAAGGATAATATTTTTAAGTGATAAGAAAGCATGTGTCATGTTTAATTGACAGTGTTTTTATTTCTCAGTGGTACATAAAATAATAGTGCATGTTACTATTGATTGCATCTTAGATTTAATGACATATGGTAACATTACCTGCCTCATGATGTTGTGTGAAGATGAAATGGGATGATGCAAGGAAAGAAGTTAACATAGTGTCTAGGGGGAAGTAGATAAGAAGTGAATTCCAGAGCATGGGATAGGGAGCAATTGGTACTGCTACTCTTAGATAAAAGTTTTGGAAAGGAGGTCCTGGGAAGATTTTTACACTCAAAGGAAGGACAGAAAAAGAAAAAAATTCAGGTAAGTTGTCAAAGGCATCCCAGGCCCTAGGTTGGAATAAGGGTGATGGGTAAAGACCCAAGGATTATCCCCAGAAAGAGAGGACCAAGGTGTATCTTTCCCTTTGGTGCCAGGAGTCTACCCATTTTTCTCAGTGAATGCCAACTCCCAAAGACACACCTTAGTCTTTCCCTTTGGAGCAGAGCCTTAAGGAGTCAGCTTTTCCAAACTCAGTGTGGCTGACTGCACTGATGGGGCCATATGCAGGCCCTTGTCACCCTGGGTCCTGAGACAATTTTCAAGGGGGATGGAGACTAGAAATGGCCTAACTCCTGCCATCTAGTAGGACCTGAATGAAGTATCACTATCAGACAGAACAATATCCAGGGTCATGCTGTTATGTCCAAGACACTGGATCAACCTCTTGGTTTTCATAATCGCCAGAACATGCCTTATGAACATGATCTTGGGTCTCTAAATGTCCTCTCTGGGGTCTGCCTTGGTAGTTGCTTTACTTACTTCCTCCCCTTCTACCAATTTGATGTCTCTCTAGCCAGAAGACCTCTATTTAGTCTTGGTTTAGTCTTGGTTCTTTTCCTTTACTCACAGGCCCTGTTGATATTGTCGAGATGCCAGCATGCCTCAAATTATAATATCAGTAATATCTATTGCATTAAAAATTAACAACTTGAGAAAAATATATGATTCACTGTATTTTCTGTAGTGTAATTGCTGTCCTACTATAGAGGTGTCCAAGTCTTTGCTTCTAAACTAACTCTCCCTTGCTGTTTGGGATTAATTATGTTCAGTTTTCCAACTGGTCACTCTTTAGAAATTCTTTTCTTACTCCTTCTGCTTACACTGAACAACTTCATCCAATTCTCCTTTAATTCTTAAATCTCAAGTTCTCTGTATTCTGATGACTCACCAATCTAGAGTCCTAATCCTAGACTAGGATTATGAAAGCCTATATAATATGTTTTTTTAGGAGAGTGTACTTGGATTATCTGTGGTTCTGGAAATCTTGCTGAAAGACTGTGAAGGAAGAAGAAGATGAACATGTTCTTGGTCTGTTCCACTGTTATGCAGCCAAGCTTTGAAGAAAATCTCCATGCTGACAACATCATTGTCTATAGTCTGTAGGTCAATGTCAGTTCCCAGGAAAGGACTCTCTGCAGAAGAAAGGGAAAGAGTAAAGTGTTTAATTCTTTAGCTGTAAAATTAGAAAAATATAAAATCTTAAATTTTGATCCATCAGTACTACATCTAGATATTTGGCCTACAGACATTCTTGGACAGTACACAAAGAGGCACAGGCAAAGAAGTTCAGTACAGCATTATTGTAATAACAAATAATCAAAACCCCAAACAGGAAACAATTCAACTGCTCAACAATATGGGAATGCTTAAATAAATTATGGCACAAGCAAACTATGGAGTATTATGCTGCTATTAACAAGATAAAGATAAATGTACTGACATGGAAAGCTATAAGATAGGAAGTAAATAAATTTTTAGAACAGATGTATAGTATAAGCCCATTTACATAAAAATAAAACTATTGGCCTAAGTACGTACATATGTATGTAAGTGTATTTTACAAAGGTCTGGAAGGCTACCATCAAACCGTTAACAGTGCAGAGTAGTGGAAATGGGGCTGTTCTGAGATACACTCTATTTTTACCACTCGTATTTCTATACCATTTGAATTTTATTGTTATTTCTTACATTTAAAAAGCATTCTAGAATACAAAACAATAGTAAAATAATATAGCAATGCAAGTTAAATAGTTAATAAGGAGGACTTCTGCTTTATGTTGTTTCACAGTGAAAATGTCTTAAATTAGTACCTCTGTTATAAAAAATAAAATTTAAAAAGATGAAGAGAAAAATAAAGATGAACTCCCAGGCTCTATCTTCTGACACAGATAATGTAAGATTGTCATTGGCATGCTGAGTCTCACAAGTGTGATTAGCAGCCAAGAAGACAGAGATGTTAATCTCTGTCTGGTGGAGTATAATTTGATTTCAAATATGAATGAATGGAGTTGGGTGGGTGGGTGAGGAGGCTTTGCTGGTCTACTTCCTGATTTAGGCAACACTAGCTCAGGAATTGGGGCCTAGGTCTGCAGGTAAAGGTTGTCAGTAAAAGCCAAGGGTAAGGTGGTGAAGGAAGCAGAGAGAGGAAATGAGGCAAGAGCTGGAAAGAACCTGAGGAGGAACCTGCATTTTTTTTTTTTTTTTTTTTTGCCTGACCATGAGGAGCTCTCTGAAATACTTCTACAAAGGGCCTAAGAAAAACCAGTTGCTCCAATGAATTAACTTCTGTGTGTGACTCATGGGCCCCAGGGAGAAGTCTGGTTTATTTCTAGAACGACATTCCTGAGGACAAGTATGCAGAGGTGGCAGACTCTCCACACGGGAACAAAGGGCTTCAGTCCAGCATGTTGGTACCCACACAGGGGAGACTTAGATGACTTCACATCGTATTTAATGACTAACTCTGTGGCTGAAAAGAGGCACCAAATGCATTTCTCTCATGAAATGTGTGAAAGAAACTCTACCACCTTCCACGAAGTGTTGTGAGGATTCATTAGCTAATTAGTTATTTTATTCATTTCTTTAAGCAGTAATATTTATTATGTACTACATAGAAAATTAAATACCATATAGGGTACAGAGATATATGATGCTTTGCACTCATTTGACATTTATAAAGCAATATTATATATATATTTTAAAAAGAAATGTTTATTACAGTTATAAAGGAACATTGTTCTTGACCATGCTTCCTTAAACCTCAACTGTCCCATTAGGTTTTAGGGGACTACAGTGATAAATATGAAGTCATTGTCAAAGAAACATCCTTCATAAGTAAAGGGAAAGTTTCTTTTAAATAATGTGAATCTTATTTTGCCATAGGCAAGACAAGAAATAGTTTAATTTTATGAGCCTGGGCTTCACCTTGAACGACATATGGAAATGACCAAACAGATTCTCTTCAGGGAGGCAAAATAATTATTAAAGCATAAGAAGGCAGATACAGAGCTACAGAAATGGAACTGAGCAGCAAGGATAATATTCCTTAAAGTTCAAACAACAGGATTTTGGAGAAAAGAAATACGTGTTTCATTTTTTCTCCCCAGGGAAAGAAGAGTAGAAACTACTCCTGTGGGCTGTATAAGGACACAACACTAAGTTATCTTCCAGCAAAAATTTGGATATAAAAATATGGGCTTCCTCGGGTAGTTAAACCTTAAAATCAGCACAGAGTGGTGAGGTCCATTAAAAACAGTGACCTTAAGAAAGGAGAATGGTTTACTGACCAGAGAAAGATTGGGCTGGAGCCTATGGATGGTACTGGCTTATCCAAAGAATGAATATGTCCTGCCCTGGCTGGGTGGCTCAGTTCTGGTTGGAGCATTGTCCTATACAAAAGCCTGCTGGTTTGATTCCTGGTCAGAGAACATACCTAGGTTGAGGGTTCGAGTGTGTACTGGAGGCAACCAATCAATGTTTGATGTTTCTCACTGACATCAATGTTTCTCTCTCTCTCCCTCTCCTTTCCTTTTTCTTTAAAATCAATAAAAACATATCCTCAGGTGAGTATTAAAAAAAATGAATGTGTCCCTTAGAAGGGGAGAGGGCTGGCCAGTAATGGAGCACAGAAATGGGGAGTGACAGGGCACATGTCGGCAGTGCCCATCCTGGAGTGGTGCAGTGGAGAGGGCATGCTGGCTCAATGACGTGCCCCAATGGCAGGATGTGTTTGTCAGGTATTGGTGATGATGGTGGTACCGGTTCTCTCTCTAAAATATGCTGACTTTTACTTTGGTGTTGAGTTTGATAAGGTGAGTCTATCTCTGAGAGGGTGCTGACAAAATAACCCAGTCCTGCAAAGAACCAAGCCTGAAATATGGCGCTTCTATGAGGGACAGTGCCAGTCTTCTCTGCAGACACGCACTCCATCAACATTCCTGAAGTTCTTTCCAAGTTCTCAACTTACAAGTTCTTAGGAGAGCCACACAGCAGAGCTTCTTTCTCTGAAAAAGTTCTCATGTAATTTCCATTGAGACACTGTGCTTCAGGTTCAAGCCTGCAGTTTTGCAGGCTCAGAAGGGACTCAGCAGCTTCTTAGGGACAGTCACATTGTCTACGTTAACAGCTAATGTGTAAAGCAGAACAGGAGAAAGGGACAACTTTTCCATTTTCTCTGTCAGTGGTTCAAGCATTCCTTCCTTCGTGCCTGGATCATAACAGTAACCTCTTAGCTGTCCGTTCAGACTCCATTGCTTCTCCTCCAGTACTTACGTACTACTGCAACTACATTTTCTAAAACATGGTTTCATCAGATCCTACCTTTGCTTAAGAGCACATCTTGCCTTCCTGCTGTCATCTTTCCTCCCCTCACTCATCCTATACAACTGGTAATACTCACTATTCCTCCAGTACCCCAGTCTTCCCTTTTTCTGTGATGGCTCATAGGAGTCCTCCCATCCCCCACCGGTAGTTTGCATGGAGCTGAAGCTTAGCAAATGACTGCTGAGTTAAACAATAAATTAAACAATTGCTCTCTCCTCCCTGGCTCTCATTACTTTTTCCTGTAACTCTTCTGCTTCAACTAAGTTTGTCTCCTTACCACATGACTTCCTTCCTTCCTTAGTGCTTTTATTACTCTATCAATCTCTAGCCTGCACCTCCCCCAGAATTCAACTCAGAGCTGACTTTGTCCAGGAAGCTATGTTTAATTATATCCTCCCTTTTTCAGTTTTAATCAGCACCCCCTGGGTATCTGTGGGCTTTATTTGGTCAGTGTAAATTATACTTGGTAATAGGTTTCTCCTGAAGGGTTTTATTCTCTTTCTGTGAATTTTTGAAACATGGTGGGTTGTAGTGGTAATACCAGGGTTTGAATTGTGACTTGGAAGTTTTCAGCTATGTTACTTTGGGCAAAGTGGGGATAGTACAACCTATTTCAGTTACAGTGAGGCGTAAGAAGTGAGACGATTATCTACGAATGACATGAGGTAGTTTCAACAAATGGCAATTTCTTCTTAACTCTCATCAACAAAATTATTTGTTTTTATAGGACAAGAATGTGTTTTCCTTTTTTAAACTTTCCCCTGTCACTTCCCGTGGTGATTGCTTCCTCCCCACCACCAACATACACAGGAACACCAACACTTAGTACTGTGTTCCTCACAACTACACTACAACTAAATGTGCTAAACCTGGGGAATAGGGAGGAGACTTCTCACTTCTCAGATGTTGAAGAGCAGCTCCCACATTGACTGGTGAACAGGGCACTGGACACTGAATGAGCCAGATCCCATTGAGGGTATGAAGGAAAAAGGTTACCGGAGTGAGGGTGCAGCTGGCAGTGTGTGGTGAAGACAGGCCAGGAAGGCCTGGTTCACTGCAGCGACGCAGCGGCCAGTACTTGCATTCAGTTTTTGGACTTACTCTGCCCCCCTGTGGCCACAAGCAGTTAGATCCCTCACTGAGTTCCCGTCGACCCCAACCACTGCCCCAATTTTGTACTTTCTGGGAGACTTCCATGACCTTACCTTTCAACATTTAAACTCCACCCCTTTTTAAAAATCTCTTATTTTAAATTTCCATCAAGAAACAAGATTTCTTGTTCTTGGTTTATTATATATTTTTTTTTTTATTCTTTATTTTTAGAGAGAGGAGAAAGGAGGGAGAGAGGGAGAGAAACATAGATTGGTTGCCTACCACACCCCAACCGTGAACTAGGCTACATGCCAGGCAGGTGCCCTGATCCAGAATCAAACCATCGACATCTCAGTTTGCAGGATGACGCCTAACCAACTGATCCATATCAGTCAGGGCTATAGCTTCCTTTTTTTTTTTTTTTTTTAAAAAAAAAAATCTTTTAAAATTAAATTTATTGAGGTGACATTGGTTAATAAAATTATATAGGTTTTAGCCCTGGCTGGTATGGCTCAGTGGATTGAGTGTAAGCCTGAGGACCAAAGGGTCACTGGTTCAATTCCCAGTCAGGGCACATGTCTGGGTTGTGGGCCAGGTCCCCAGGAGAGAGTGCGCAAGAGGCAACCACACATTGATGTTTCTCTCCCTCTCTCCTTCCCCTTTCTCTAAAAATAAATAAGTAAAATCTTAAAAATATAAAGTTATATAGGTCTTAAGT